AAGGCCGACGCCATCTTGGCCTGTATCAGGAATGGTGTGGCCAGCAGGAGTAGGGAGGTGATCGTGCCCCTGTACTCGACACTGGTGAGGCCGCACCTCAAGTACTGTGTTCAGTTTTGGGCCTCTCACTGTAAAAACGAAATTGAGTTGCTTGAGTGTGTCCAGAGAAGGGCAACAAAGCTGGTGACGGGCCTAGAGCACAAGTCTTACGAGGAGCGGCTGAAGGAACTGGGGCTGTTTAGCCTGGAGAAGAGGAGGCTGAGGGGGGACCTTATTGCTCTACAGCTACCTGAGAGGAGGTTGTAGTGAGGCAGGAGTTGGTCTCTTCTCCCAGGTAACTAGCAATAGGACGAGAGGCAACGGCAGAATTAGGAAACATTTCTTTCCTGCAAGAGTGTTCAGGCATTGGAACAGGCTGCCCAGGGAGGCAGTGGAGTCACCATCCCTGCAGGTGTTCAAAAAACGTGTAGATGTGGCACTTTGGGATATGGTTTAGTAGGCATGGTGGTATTGGGTTGATGATCTTAGAGATCTTTTGCAACCTATGATTCTATGATTATTTTGAAACAAATAAATTCTAATCTGCTTTCTCACCTCTGCACCCACAAGCAAAAGAGTAGTTTCTGCTCCTTGTTTCAGCAGGGAGGTAGCTTCAGGCATCTCAAAATGTAGGCTCCAAATTGTCAAGAGAAAAGGAATTTGATGAGGTTAAACTCTTCACCTCATTTAGCATTTAAATGATAAGAGTTATAGGGTAGGACAACACAATATACTACTGCTAGAGGTTTAACTCCCATTGGGTTTTCTAAATGGGTACCTGGGGCCATTGTTCCTTTGGACGTTACAAATAAAGAATCAAGCCTTCATAAATAGAAACCACGTCCCCCCCTCCCCTTCCACAAGGCAGCTGACATGAAGTGGGCTGGACACAGACTGCCGCAAGTGTTGAGCCATTTATTACTGTGACAGCGGAAACTTAGTAAGAGTTCTGATGTTCCCTGCTCTTAAATTTCTAAAGGGTGCTTATGGTACAGCAGCACTTAAACGAGCTACTGCCAGCTTAAAATTAGTTTTGACGAAGGTCTAAGACTGGACATGGTCCTAAATAAACAACAAGAAAACAAATAGATCACCTCGTTATCTTCTTCAGACATCAGGTTCTGAGACCAAATAAACTTACCGATAGCTTAAATTAACATTTATTTTTAGTGTTTGGCTGTTCACCATTGTAGCAGTCAGTTGAGGGAAGAAAAGAGGAAATTTATTTTAAGAATATAGGAAAAAAAATCACTGTTAACAGACCATTTAGCAGATGATTTCAAATCTCTTAATTTGACTGCAGTTAGGGCTTGATGCATTCTTCTTTAAAGCAAAAGGTATCTGACCATCCTGTTCAGTGCTGCTGCATTTTTTGTGAAAACAGTGTTCAAGACGAGCAGCAGAGCCAAAGGAACAGAAAGGACAGATTTTATGTAAGGGTGTACTCTGAAGTCCCCTCTCGTGTTGCACCTTCACCTGCACCCGTGTGCTGAAGCTGAGCTCTCGCCGGCAAATCCATGTGATCCCAACTCCCCACCCCGCAGTGTTCCTGCATTTCAGCCCCGTTGCTCATTTCCCTTACTGAGCTCCACAGGGCACAAGGCAGAAGCAGATCAGGAGACAGGGCAGCGAGAAGGCAGTTGGACAATATTATGCCAAATAGGTAGACTCAGTTTACAGCTTAAATCTGCATCTAACCTCGTACCCCATTCTCTTAATTTTGAAGGCTTTTTGCCACACTAACTGGACCAGCTGTAGTGAAGTTATTCCCAGTCAGCAGCTTTAAAATTCCATGATAAATCACTGCCCTGAGGGGTATGAAAACACCGGGCATTTCTTTCATTGTTCACTACATATTTGCTTTCACATTCAGAAGCTATTTCAAGACAAGTGCAAGCAAAACAAAACAGCTACAAAAAGCAATAGATGTTGCTGCACTAACATGTTCCATCCCCCTGTCTTAACGATTTGTATAAAAATAGAAATGGGTAAATAGAAAAGCACTACTAAAGAAAAGCTATTTCTCTGTCACTACAGAAACCAAGACCTACTCAACTGCACTGAAAAGGTTTATCACCCTGAAAACACACGGCCCTGACTTAAAACCGTCTTTGACTTCAGGTTGTTTCGAACAACCATCATCATTTCTACCCTCCTGCCCCCACCCTTTTTTTTTAATTATGAGACCACCACCTGATCCGCTGAAGAGCCGAGGTGAGTGACAGGACCCACCAACGCAGTTTTCTCCTATCCATATGCTACAACTTCAAACCATACGGTACTTCCTTCCCTGCAAAAGTAGCGTTAGAGAAAAGACCCTAAAAAAAAAAAATAACAGTTTGCGGAGCTGTAAGTAGGAATAAAGATATCTTGGAATAGGAAAGGCCTTGAAAGTCCCAAGAACTGTCTAGTTCAGGTGTACCATTAGAAAAGCTTTCTAGCAAGTCAAAACCATAATTTGTTTTTTTTAATGCCATCAGTCATACCAAGAAAATCATCATTAAGTGTCACTGTTCTGGCAGGGTCCCTTCACAAATACATTCAGGAGCATTTGTAGGCAAATGTGAATTCAGGAACTTGATGTTTTGCCAGTCTCCAACTTTTTTCTGCATTAATTTCTCCATTAATTTGGTGATTTTTGGGCAGCATTTGAAGTTAGAACACAGATCAATCCATTAAACAATGATTGGAAAAGACAATAGGATATCTAATTCATACAATTTCTTTTATAATATTGTCTACACTAACAAAATAGAATAACCGTAATTCTTTCAAGATCAGCAAAATACTCCAAGCTGTAGCATTACAGCATGTGGCAGTCTGTAAACCAAAGCAGCATCCATTTCACTCATGATCTTGTGCAGCTTCTTCCTCTTTCTGTTCACACGCTGCTTCATCGTCTGGTTTCACCGGAGTAGTGGTTAACGAGCTCTCATTACTGTTTAAGGTCAGCTTTGTTCCTTGGTTATTGGGATCAGTTCCTAGTGTTGTTTTTGAAGAAATCTCATTAGGAAGAGCAAAAGAAGGTAAAGATGGAATTGAAGGCAGCAGGTCGTCCAACTCGGGCTGCTTGACTGAGCCTTCAGAAGACATGGCGACACCTGCAGGGTCCAAAGCTGTAGCATTCTCTGGGAAATGAAAATAGTTTGTAAAAAAAAAAAAAACAAAGAAAAAACAAAATAAAACCCCACAAAACCTGTCAGGCTAACAGACAGTGCCTCTGGTTACCACGCGTCTAGAAAAATCAGCCTGGATGAGATGCCTGGATGAGATACCTCGTACAGGTGCATAACCAGATTCACAACTGTCAAATACGTGGGCTGTGTCTACACAGTTCTCCCCAAATCCAGAGAACGTGATGATGCAAGCAGGTCTTGAGGAGACCACGAACCATTTGGTCTGCTGTGTTCTTATGCTACAGATGTTTTATTCTGTGTTACAACTCTTAGTCACCCTGTTTAAAAGGCAAATGCATCCATAATGTGAAGATACCTTTTTTTAAAATACAAAAGTCACTGTTAAGACTGTAATTTTGTTTTCACTTTACAACTGTGAAGAAAAGCCTGTGATACAAAAATACATTTCCACTGATTTTAGAAATACCTACTTTTAACATCAATTTGGCTCCTCAACATTATAATTTAAAGACAAGCATTCCATCGTCTTGTAAAAAAGCCTGTGAGTTTTTGTCCACTTCTACACCTGATTTCTGCTACTTTTTCCATCTCATTTTAGCCAATCCCCTTTCTGATTTTTCTTGAAAACAGCTTATTTCCAAAAAGCATGATGCTGT